ATCTATTGGACGCATTCTAATAACTGTAATTGTAGTACTTAATGGTGAATAAATTCCATATTGAGTTAATCTAAAAATTAGATAAATTTTATAAAAAGTATGAAAATAAATCTTGGGGAAGATCATTTGGACTTTAAGAAAATTTGGAGCTCAAAGAATCATTTCTGGGTCGAATCAAAAAGCAAGTCAGCCCAAAAATGTATAAAAATAAAATCAAAAAGATGAAGGGGAATCTCAATTTGAGTAGCAAATCGCAATTCAGATTTTCAAAAGATATCACGTCCCTTTTCTCGAGCTCAGAGTTGGAAAAGAATTTTGATGATTTTGAAAATGAGAAAAACCGCTACTTTATTTAAAAAGGAGCACGAGCAAGTTTAATTTTAACAATTTTAATGACTGAAAACAACAGACTATTCTTGAATTAGAAAACAGAAAGGGAGCAAATGATCCCCCGCCCCAACCAGAGCTGCGTCTAAACAAAAAAAAAACTTCGGAAATCGAAAGAAATCAAAAAATATCGGTCAAAAATCTAAATTTCGGCGCAGCTCTTCCCCAACTTTTATCATTAAAAATAGAAACCTAAGCTGTCCAGATTTACTAGCAACACGCATTTGACATTCTTCATTTAATTCAATAAAATCATTAATCATTCCAATACGATAAGGTTCAATTTCTTGACGAGCATCTTCCTAAAAATAAATTCTTTCTAATTTTTTTATTAAAAATAAACCAATTGATAAATTAACAATTTTCCAGAATTAATTAACAAAACAAAAGAAGAATTAGTTGTTGGACATATTGAAGCTCCCATAACTCTTAATCTAATTGATTGTCTTTGCATTGAATCTATCGAACATTTTCTTTCATAATCCAATTCGGAACACATTTTTTCATCAGAAAAGTGAAAATTGGCAAGCCGAAAAGAACAAGTCCCATTTTGATGAATTAAGAAGAAGGCATCTTTTTCGGCACAGGGAAGAATCTTTAAAAAAATATTCAATAAAAAATTTTTAAAAGAAGAATATTGGAAGGAAAAGAATCCAAAAAAGGATAGAACAAAGGGAAAATGCAAAAAAATATTTTATAGTTAATGAGAATATCCTGTTAAAAAGGACCTGAAACTTAGTCTAAACAACCGGCCCTGAACTTTTTCCTACTTGGAGTTCAACCCTGCCTAAAAATAATTCAGAGGTGAGAAAGAATTCCATTTTTCACCTTTCCCGACGTCATTTCTTCAAATCTTCGAAACTTTGTTTCTTTTAGATTTCCAGGATCCGAGTCCTGCGGATGTCTCGTCCCATATCTGGTTTAACAAAAATAATGGTAATTCTAAAAAATTAAATTCTAGACCTTTAAGACCCCCAAAATCCTTTAAAAAATTTTCCATAAAAAATCAAAATAGAAAAATTAAATTTGAAACCCGAACTAAAGGCGATCCAGTATCAATAATGGAACTAAAAATGACTTGACAATGTTGTGTTTCAACCAAACAAATTTCTGTCGGAAATAGAACAAATAAAAGTTGTGGATAAGCCAAGTGATATTTTAATTGATTAATTGAAGAAGAATTATTAAATTTTGTAGAGGAATTTTGAATTGTACGAGGTTCAAGCGTCATTGAAGTAATTTTTGAATCAGACCAGTGAAAGGATGAAAGTTTTTCCAAAAGGATTAGACTAGAACCAACAGAGCTTACTTTAATAAATGATTTAAATTTAATACAAAAACAATGAAGAGTTAAACATTAATACATATTATTAGGCTAATATCTCTGAAAACCTAATCATAGTTCGCTGAATTAAAATATGTATATGAAACCAATACATACTAGGATATTCTAATTTTGATCGAGTTACATTTTTGTGGTAGGCTCAAAAAACAGCAGCGTTAAGAAGTCACTTACGGAAATCTTTTGCGAAAAGAAAATAAAAAATTTTCGGAGATTAAATTTATATGCCTGTCTTAGAATTAAAAAACAAGAACTGACAAAGAATTTTGAATCCAGAAAAACGACAGAACATTCTCATGTTTCCTCAAAAATTCAAAAAAGTTTATAAAACAAACCTGCCGCTTTTGTTTGGTCAAAAGGGTCCATACTAATTTTATAAATGCTGACATTAAATTTGTGTTCCCAAATTCTTTCCTTTTTGTCAATATTCCAAAGAATTAGAGTTGAATTGGAATGAATACTTAATAAAAGGTTGTAATCAGAATTTGGCCAATTTAACCATTTGAGATCTAAAATTTTTTTTTCAAATTTATGTTTCCAAAAAAGAAAACAGTTGAAACTCACTATAAGATACCCCTAACCTAGATATCCCTAATCCTAAAAACACCTCTAATTTACGCACTCTTTAAATTTAGTCACTGGATGGGGAAGAACGATACTTTCTACTTAAGATAACTTCACCATCAGACACTGATTTTTCAGACCAAAGGATATATCTTATAGTGGGGGTACAGCCCAAGCAGGCGCGCGCCCAAAACGGCGCAAAGCCATAACTTGCTTTAACATCTCCAAATCTTACCAAATTTAGTATTAAACAATTCCTCTCATCGAGCTAAAGAGATTGATACTAAAAGTGATAAAGGCCCGAAATTTTTTAGCAGGTTATAGCTTTGCGCCGTTATGGCCGCGCGCCTACTTGGCGTGTCTCTCTTACAGTGAGGTTGACTACACTGCTCCACATAATTATAAGTCCACCCATTTTTTCGGGATTTTTTGACTCCCAGTCATCCAAATTTTTTGAAAATTTAGAAACACACCTTTTAGTGAATAACTAACAAGGTGTGATTCGATTTTTGGCTGAATTTTTATTTAAAAAATTTTTAGACCAAAATATGTGTTTTCGGCCTCCACAAAATTATAAGTCCACTTTTCAAAAAAGATATTTCCAAGTTTAGGAAAAATCTACAAAAATTCTAGCAACAATATATAATGATATTATGAAAAAATAAAAAAGAACTAGACCTATAACTCTACCCGGAGCCGAGATCCTGAGACCTCAAAAATCAACGTAAAATGGGGGTAAGGCTCTTTAAAAAAATTTTTCGACCCCTTATCGATTATTTTCAATTTTGATTTTGGGCTCATTCGACAGCCCTTGAAATTTGCTACAAGATAGCATTAATAATATTTTATAGAAAATTCGATTAGAAAGATACGAGCCGTTAATCTTCTGATGCAGCAAAAATCGTCTAAATGCTCCATAAAATGCCCTCTAATGACACCTAGAAAGTTTATCGTCTTGTGTCTCTCTAAGGAATTTTTCTGAAAAATAAGACAAGTGCTATCTTGTAGCAAATTTCAAGGGCTGTCGAATGAGCCCAAAATCAAAATTGAAAATAATCGATAAGGGGTTGAAAAATTTTTTTAAAGAGCCTTACTCCCGTTTTACGTTGATTTTTGAGGTCTCAGGATCTCGGCTCCGGGTAGAGTTATAGGTCTAGTTCTTTTTTATTTTTTCATAATATCATTATATATTGTTGCTAGAATTTTTGTAGATTTTTCCTAAACTTGGAAATATCTTTTTTGAAAAGTGGACTTATAATTTTGTGGAGGCCGAAAACACAAATTTTGGTCTAAAAATTTTTTAAATAAAAATTCAGCCAAAAATCGAATCACATCTTGTTAGTTATTCATTAAAAGGTGTGTTTCTAAATTTCCAGAAAATTTGGATCACTGGGAGTCAAAAAATCCCGAAAAAAGGGGTGGACTTATAATTATGTGGAGCAGTGTATATTCCAAAAAAATTATTAATTTTCAAAAAAATTATTAAAAAATAAAACCATTAACATTTGTAGTCAAATAACGTAAAGAGGCCACAACAATTCCCATTTGAATATCCCAAATAAAAATATTGCCACTAATATCTGAAGAAGCACAGCCAACATTAATATCACTACAATAACGAATATTGTCGTTGTTAACGTCTTTTGATTTTATCCGAAAGAGAAGGTCAATGGGAGGTTTCCAACAAACCTAAAAAAATAATCTTCTTCCATAGCGACAACATTTAAACCGCGAGACCTATTATAAATACAGACGGACTCGCTTGTATATACTGATTTGTAAGGTTATCGGATCCGGATCCGAAAAAGGCCGATATCCGAAAATTTTCGAATCAAATATCGAATCTGAATATCCGATTTCCAACTACATTTGAGGCAAAAAATCGAATATTATACTAACTATAAGGGTACCACAATACTGGGAATATTAGCTACCCACACCGAGTGCAGAAATACACAACTCCAGTGGGACCACGAAACTTCAATCCAAAAACTCGAACAAGTTTGGCCGGCAAATTTAAATTTGTACCCCGAAATATTCTAAAAATTTTATTTTTACCAAATTAATTGCTGTAGTGTGTTGTTCTAGTGTTTGAAAGACTTCAAGTTTACAAGTGTCAAAAAGCACCAAAGTTGAATGACAGCCAAAGGCTATCAAGCCTTTTTCATTCCTACAGAAAATAACATCAAATTAGAAACAAAAATTTAATAAATTAACCAAGCTATTGCATCTCGATTGCTCGGATGGAGCGAACTTGTTAATGTTGTTGGAGGCATTATTTTTACATTTTATTTCAAAAAAAGAAAAAAATTTCTTAAAATAAGTAAATAAAAAAATTGGCTTAAATAATAAAAAAAAAGGGTACAGCCCAAGTAGGCGCGCGGCCAAGTAGGCGCAAAGCCATAACTTGCTTCAAGATTTTCTAATCTTTCAAAATTTAGTATTAAACGATTCCTCTCAACGAGTGATACCAAAGTTGATAAGGAACAGAAATTTTCAAGGTAGTTATGGCTTTGCGCCTACCTGGCCGTGCGCCAACTTGGGCGTGTCCCGCTAAAATGAATTTACGCGTTTCGCCAGTTAGAAGAAAATTTTCATTTCGTCAACAAGGAAAAATAAAAAACTTAATTTCAACCCAAAAGATCACCATCCTATAAATCAACGACCTTACAAATCTGCGATTATTTAATGTTTATCATTAGGGAGGTGATTTATTCCAGCAAAGAAACATTCTCTCAGATCATTGCAACCTTTAATGTGACAAAAAACTGACCAACACATGCTTCTACTAAATTGATAAAAATATCTAGTTTCCTCCAAACGTTTAGAAAAAAGGAAAATGATTAATAACCTCTCCCCCTATTTCCTCTGATTATTATTTTTGTTTAATCATTTATTTATTATTTTTTTAAAAAATGTATTCAATATTAACTGTTTCCTTTATTTTCCATTTTATTTATGCCTTAAATGCTGAGGAAAATATTTTTAAAAATATGTTGATTGAATGGAGTATGTTTTTGAGGGATTTTAAAAAAATCCAAAAAAAAATTTTTTAAAGAACGCCGAATACTTTATTGCAGTCCTAGCAAAGATGGAAAACATTCTGGCCAGTGTTATTTAACTGTTGGAAAGGAGGAAAAGCCTAAATTGGCAAAATGTCATGAGGAAAGTTATAAGCTTGAAACAGGTAATTTTCTAGAAGAAAATTCTTCGAAACCCCTTTAAAAAAGCTTTAAATTTTAAATGAAAGGAGAAATAGAAGGACGAACTTCATGTAATATTGAATGTCGTGGAGCTGATAGAGACTCTGTGATATCGAAGGTGATTAGTTTTTAAAGGTGATTTGGTTTCAGTTTGGTTCCGGCTAGGGTTCTCGATAGACCGAACCAAGTACTGTATGTTTTGGGCTAAAAAACCAAGCCGGGATTTAAAAATGAATGAAGCCTAAAACTGACATATGACAAAAGCGAAAAATCGGAACCTAAAAATCAAATGAAACCAAAAACTGAAAGCACAGTTCTAAACAGAATTTTAGCTATAAAATTTTAAATTCCCCCAAAAAAGGTGCCCAGTTGGAGTCGAGAATGCATAAGATATTTTTCTTATGACACTTCAAGAGAAGCTCTACCGAAACAATTTGGTGATTTCGCCCGTGAATGGTATTTATGGCGTGGAGGGAAATGTAGATTAATGGAAATGTCATTTGAAGTTCATTGTGGATTTCCTTGAATATTTACAGGAATTAAAATTCGCAACTATTTTTTAAATAATTTTCATATTTATAAATTTGTATATAGACTATTAAATATAATAATGAAAAAATTGCAATAAAACTAAAATATTAAAAACATCGGGATGAAATTAAATGATAAAAAATATAAAATTGAGAAGATAATTAGAATATTTTGTTTTTAAAGTAAAAAAATCAGTTACCAAATTTCAATATAATGTAAAATGAGCCCAATAGAAAAAAATAGCGCAATATATCTCATCTTGGCATAATCGCCTACAAAACATGTATTTGCATGTTTTACCCACCCCTAGTAATGAGCACTTTCGTTTTACAATAAAAAGTATTCTTTCCTGAAAATTACTGATTTTCTTTTCCCTAAAAATACCTAAAAATATCTAAAAACCCCAATATTCTAATTAAACCGCACTTAAAAGGTTGACAATTTTTAAAATAAAGTACTATCTAAATATATAGGTTTTAAAGTAATATAATTTTTTAAAGTAGTTAGGCCGGATGAGAGAATAAATGAGCAAAATTAGGGATAGAGAGCGCATCCAGTGGACCCCTCCCTCCCACCCAAACTGTAAAAAATAAAATATTGGATGAATTTTTGGGGGTTCTCGGTTACTACAAATTAAAACCAAAAGTCATTTTTCCACAAAATTTTTTTCTGAATGCGCCCTTGTTTAAAATCAATATTTTAATTTAAAAATAATTTTTTGTTTCCTATTTATAGTAAAAATACCAAATTTTTCAAACAATTAAATATCCTGCCGAATTTGAACGTCCACGTCTTTGTTGCCAATAACGTATTAAACCAGCAGGGAGTTTAAAAGGCAATTCATATCTTTAAAAAAATTTTTTTTTTAATTTTAGAAAATTTTTAAAATAAAAAAACCCAACTTTCTAGGTATCGGTCTATGCACAGATTGTTCCATAAAATTAAATAGAGGATACCAAATAACATTTACAAAACGATTTCTGCCATTAAAGCTGTGCTAAAAAATTATAAATAGGTAAATTAATTAAAAAATTTTTAAATTAAACCCGAAGCTCGTCAAAATCAGCAAGTGTATGATAAAACCAAAAAATACGCGTAGTGATCCAATAAGCAATTATTACATCAATACTAAAAAAATTTAAAAATTTTTCAAAATTTAGATTTTTCAATTTAAAAAATACCAAAAATTATTTAACGTTTGAAAGCGTTTGGAATTTTATTTATGAATCATTCCTTTCCAAATTTTCGTTTCTTTGTCATATTTTTTAAAAATTTCCCTTATTTATAATCATTTTTCAAAAACAAAATTAATCACCACTCTACGTCCAATTTATTCTTTTTTTTTTTAAATTTCAGTATTATTTTTATTTTATTCAGAAAAAAATTTTCTAAAAATTAAAAAACAAACCTATAATGTCCTCGTGAAAAAAGCAATGATAATACACCAACACTAGAAAAAGCAAATGCCAAAATATGGAGAGGAAGCCAACGACGAGGACTGTCTAAAAACGAAAACTTTATTTTTAGTTCAAATATAATGGTTAGTTGACGTTAACATTCGTATAAAAAATTGAAACAGATAAATCAAAGAAAGGCAGTTTAGGTTTCCCAAAAATCAACAATTAAGATGTCAGGTGATTTTCTGTAAACCAACCAGCCTTAACAAAAACCTAATTTCTTTTCTTTTAAAAAATTGTAGAAATGAAAGAATCACCAAAATCACTAAGGTCAGATTTAAGCTACAAAAAAATTTTTTTTAATATTTTTTTCAGTAAGACTAAAATCGTCAACCGTTAACAAAAAAAGTCCATTGACTACCAGAAAATTAAAAAACTTAAACCTCACATTCTTTAATAAAAAGATAACACAAAACATGTACAATTGTATGGCCACTATAAATATAATCACCACAAAGCGTATGTCTTCCATTTATTTTAAGCCCAAGTCCAATTAAGACGGACAATGCACGAACCAAAATATTCCAAAACTAAAAAATATAATTTTTAAAATTTAAATAAAAAATTAAAAAATATACAGTTCTTTCTTCAGGTTTTAATTTTGGAGAGCAATAATAATTGGGATCAGCAACTGGAACTTGAGTAACAAACTGAAATTTTTTATTTAAAAAATCAATAAGAGGAAATTCAATATTATTTGAAATTCATATTTAACAAAAAATAAAATCTAATAAGGTCACAGTCCAGTCTATTCAGGGTTATAAGAAGGCCCATAAATGTTGGACATTTGACTAAATATTTTATGACATTTTCCGTTTAGTCATGGTCTTGAACGGATGGTCTGCTCACTTTTCTGATAGCAAATTAAGGAAAACAAAAATTCCCCGGTTCCCACCGGACTTAATTAAAAAAAGTAAACTTGCCATAGTAGCACAGCGACCAAGGTAAAGTAAAAATCCAATTGTGAAGATTCGGCTAAAAATGGAAAAATGATTAATAAAAAAGAAAAAATTTAGAAAATTTCCTAAAGTAATCTTATAAATCTTTCAGAATTTTTCAAAATAAAATTAAAACAAACCGAAGAACTGCCCATCTATATTTATGAAGAATTGCAACTGTGAGCATTGCAGAAAAGGAAGAAATCATCAAAACTTCAGAAACAATCAATGCCCAAGGCCAATAAGGCAAAATTGAAAATGCAAAATCTGGAAGTGGAGGCGATTCGGGAATTAGTTCGTGAATATAGGAAAGAACAAAATCATTTAAAAATCCAGCAAATACAAGTAGAAGGAAGGCATACTAAAAAATTAACATAAAAATTATTCAAAATTTTTGTTGAGAAAAATAAAAGGGGAAAACTTGGTATTTGGATTGAGAGAAAAATTGGCCCATAGGAAAAGTCGGTCCAAATTGATTGGGGGTCTTTTTGGCGCAAGTGATGTTGTTTATTTGATACGTCGGAGAAGTTAGTTCTCTCGTTAGTTTTTCACGTAGTTGGAATCACCTCATCAGTTGTACCAAACAAAGAATTATCACTGCGCCAAAAAACCCCAAAACATTTGGATCGAGTTTTAGTAAGACCTAATGAAACCAAAAAAAATTTTTAGCGGGTCATAGAAGTTACGAAGAAAAGAAACAATCAAAAATCCCACAATAGTTCCCTACTTGACTCAAAAATATTAAAATATACCCCAGTCTTTCGTCGTTCTTTAGGAATTTTTTGTTTGCTTTTAGTCAATTCTTTAGTAAAAGGCTGGTCATCTCGAGCATTTTCATTTTCTTCTTCGTTAACATCATTGAGAATTTCGTCTTCCTGAACAGACTGGGGTCGCCTTGTTAATGGAGCTCTAGCTTCTTCTAAAATTTTTAAAATTTTACTAGTTTAATAAGAGAAAATTAAAAAAAACCAAATGAATCAGGCAAACTTTCTTCAGAATCTTCAGATGTGCTTGAATTTGTATCTCTAATTGGACGTTCTTGTTGATCGATATTGACAACATTTGACTGGCTTCTCATTTAAAAGTATTAAAAATGAAAGACATTCAACCCTTAAAAACATATTAAAGATGAGTAATAAATTATTAATTGAAGTTTCGAAGAGGGAATTTTGATAAGTGGGTAAAAATTGCCTCAAAAAACATTATTTTTTGACAATTTCACGGCGCGGGACACACCCAAAAAGGCGCACGGCCATGAAGGCGCTAAGCCAAAAATTGCTTCAAGATTTCCCGATCTTGCCAGTAGTATCAAACGATTCCACTCATTGAACCAAAGAGATTGGTACCAAAATTGACTAGGGCCAGACATTTTCCAGTAAGTTATAGCTTTGCGCCATTATGGCCGCGCGCCGTTTTGGGTTGTACAACAGATTTGAGCGGGCATAAAACGGAAAGAAACACAAAAGCAAGAGAGTGCAGAAAATATGAGAGGGCGAGACAGGAGGAGAAATTTCACAACGATAAAAATTGATAAGTAAAAAAGAAAATATAACGTAAATAATGAGTGTGGAAGAGAAAATGACAAATAATAATACATTATGCCAAAATAAAATCCGCAAATTTTAAAATGATGATTATTTTTTACTATAAAAGCCAAATTTGTTGAATCAGACTTTACGCTACAGACGGGGAATCTATGCCGTTTTTTTCAAATTTTTTTAAATTTTTTTGTTGTTTTTGCTTCCCTTTCATTTTATTTTATGTTTTTTATTACTTTAAAGTAATTTTTACTCCCGGGCACTAATTTTCGCGACTTTACGTAAAAATTTATAAATTTAGATGACCGAAGAAAATCTTTTAATTGAATTGAAAAAATATATTTCGGGGGGTTCTTTTAAATTGGAAGGGCCGCAAAGTGCCGATAAAGTCTACAAAGATGAGTGTTTCTTGTGTTTTGACACTGCTTTTTCGCCAGGTTTAACTTTTTCAAAGCCTTTTACTCTCAACTTTTAGGTGGACTCTTCATTTCTTTGTTGGATTTTGTTGGCGTTTGCGCAAAACATCTTGACATTTATGTGAAGAAGACGTCATTCCGTTTGTTTTTGAACATTAAGAAGTCTAAAGTGCCTAATGAGGATTCTGAGGAGCCGAAGGATAAGGTTTTTTAAAGTTTTTTTGTTCTTCCTTAACTTTGGCTTATTTGAGATTCAACGCTTATGCATATCTCAAACAGAAGACAAAATTAGTTCAGACTACAGCCTTTGTTTGCATCCACATACTGATGTTCCAATCAAAATTGAAAATGATATTGGAGACAAGCTTCGGGAAATTGTGGATATGGTTATTGCTCATATTAGTGCCGAACTGCAACAACGCTTACAGAGCGGCGTCAGTGAATGGGATGGAGAAGAACGGCAGATTTCAAAGGCAGCCGAAAAGCTTGAACAGGTTTTTGTTTGGTTAACTTGGCCCTTTCTGTTTAGAGGACTTGTCCTAGGCAAATCTAAGTTCTCCTAGTTCTCTGGAGTTGAAGCTCCAACTTGAACTCCAACTGTGGACTACAATAGTGGATTAGCCAAAACATAATCGACCTTATTTGGTCTATAGGGAATGTAAAGCAGACTTTTTGGGCTCCTAGGATAGGCTTCGAGTTTACGTATTGATTGTCTTGTGCTTTTATTCACGCCTTATTTAGCTTTCAATCTTTAATTTCAGATTCCATTTGAAGGCAAAATTTCTTATGATGGTTGGATTTGTGCCAAGCCTGGCTGTGAACTTAAAGAGAATTTGTGGTTAAATCTGAGTGATGGTATTATCATGTGCGGACGATATGCTCCTATGAGTGGCGTTAAAGGGAATGGACATGCAGTTAGTTTATATATTTAGTGTTAGCTTTTTCTTTGTCAATCAAATTTAGCGACACTCCTTAATCTGGTTGGGAGGCTCATTTCTTCCCTAATTGTGTCATAATCTAGTAGTTTCACACAGACTATTCTAATCAGAATCCTAGATTCATAAAGCTTTAGTAGAGAGAGTTAATTCTCTGACATAGCCAAGTTGAATTTGGATTAGGGTCTCGAATCTGATTCTAGATAAAGAAATCAATTTGTATTATTTTTTTAATTTTTAGAAAACTCATTACGAAGAAACTGGTTATCCTTTGGTTGTCAAATTGGGTACAATTGCGGATGGTGATGGGGATATTTACAGTTATTCTGAAGACGCGCCTGTTCGTGATCCATTGTTAGCAAAACATTTGGCACATTTTGGACTTTCTATTGACAAGTTTACCAAGACTGAGAAAACAACACTTGAATTGGAGTTGGATGCAAATCTTAAGTATATTTTTCTAATTTTCAAAAAATTATTTTTCTTTATTTTTTAGACATGAATTCTCTACTATTCAAGAAGAGGGAGCGTCTTTAAAAAATGTTTATGGCTCTGGTTTTACTGGATTGATTAATTTGGGCTCTTCTTGCTACATTAATTCGGTATATAATTTTTAAACTTTATTTTGGATTAGGATTTGGAGGCGTTAGCATTTTTAATTACTGAAATTCTTGTTTATTACCGAAACGGTTCTGCTCCTAATTTATGGGTTTTCTTGGGGAGAGGGATATGAATACAAGCATATTTTACCTAAAATCAAATTATTTTTTATTTTATAGGTGTTACAAATGCTTTACAACGTACCTGACTTTTTGAAAGTTTACGGAGATAATTCGGAAAATTTATTCAACAAAGTTTCACCTTTAAACTCTTATGAAGACTTCAATTGTCAATTAGCAAAAATTGTCAAATCATTACAATCTGGTGAATATTCAAAAGAAGGGCAAAAAGAAAATGGAATACGCCCATTAGTTTTTCGACGTTTAGCAGGACGTGGACATGTTGAATTTTCTACAGCAAAACAACAAGATGCAGAAGAATATATTCGCCATTTATTTGACAAAATTGACAACAATGTGAAAGGAGAATTAAATCCTGTGAATTCTTTTCGATTTTACCTTGTGTCTCGTTTTGTGGATGAATTGTCTGGATGTGTTAGATACTCAAAGAGAGAAGAAACTATACTTGCTTTACCTGTGCCTTTACAAGAATGCAGAGATGTTTGTTTTTAAAAATTTTTTCGAGTTTATGAAACCAAATGTCACTTTCTTGTTTTTTGGGATTTACCAAATTTTCCTTACAGATTTCCAAGAGAACATAATTTTTTCTCATTGAAAATTAAGTCAATTATTCCTTACTATGGGCAATCCTTTTTCATTTGGAATTTTTATGAAAAATTTTTTTTATTCCAGTCTCCAGTCCAAGTTGGTGGTTCTACTCGCAAATTTGTTCAATTACAAAGCTGTTTATCAAAAGCATTTTCTCAAGAAAATATTGATGATTACACTTCTCCAGTTTTAAAAACGAAAGGCAAAGCTATTCAAGAGCTAAAAATGGGCAGTTTTCCAGACTTTTTGATTCTACAAATTCAGGTTTTTTTACTTATGAATTATTAGTTAATATCATTTATTTTTTCAGAGATTCACTTACCTTGACAACTATCAAATAAAAAAATTGGATGTGGATGTTGAAATGGACGATTCTATTGATTTGACTGCTTTTTATTCTGAAGGGAAAATTCAACCAGATGAACAACCTTTTCCTGATGTGAATCCAGATGTGAACCAAGAGATTGTTTTGCAGGTTTAGAATTGTTTTAGACTTAAAAATTAGATTTTATAATTTTTTGATTTTTTGATCTCATTCTCTTTTGACTTGTTGTTTTTCGCCCAACTTTATATAGTTTTATAATATGGGAGTCTTAGGTTTATATTTTCCAATTGTTTACGTCATTTAAATAATTTTGTTTGATAAGCTACGTCTTTATTTTAAAATTTCTCATTTTTTTTTATTTTTCAGTTAATGGATATGGGCTTTACTGAAAATGCATCAATAAAGGCTTCTATTCATACCAAAAATGCAGGACTTGAAAGTGCAGCTAATTGGATATTACAACATATGGATGATGCGGATTTAAACGAACCACTTCCTTCTCAATCAATAGGGGCTCCAACTACTGAATCTAAAGGTTAATATTTAATTAGGGAATTTTGATTTTATGTCATTATACAATACATAACAAACTGGGGGTAGACACAACCAGTTATCAATCAATGGCCTTGGGTTTAGGTTTCGAGTTTTAGTTTAATAACGATTTTATTGGGGAATCTTTTAAAAAAGCAATCATTTTCACATTTTTTTGTTTTAAAAAACGGTTAATTTCTTTAAGAAATATTTAACTTTTTGGTTCTAAACATGGTATGACCAACCTTAATACAAATTTTATAACGGACTTTCTCTCGAAATTTTTTAAAATTATTTTTAAAGGTATTCCACCCAAAGAAGTACGTAATGGTTCGGGACAATACAAACTGTGTGCTTTCATTTCTCATATGGGTTCGTCTCCACATTCTGGTCATTATGTTGCTCATGTTAAACGAGATGATGGTTTATGGTATATCTTCAACGATGAAAAGGTATAAAATTGATTTTAAATGAATAATTAATTTCCTTGGGAGAAAAAATTTTTTTGCTATTAAATGAGCTTAGTTAGTTATTGTTAAAAACAGTTTCCAAAAATTTGTCCTTAAATTTTTTTTAATAATTTTTTTACTTTAGGTTGCAATATCTCAAAATCCGCCTAAATCTCTTGGTTACCTTTACATGTACAAGCGTGACTGATCCGTAATTAAAAAAAAATTTTTTTTGTTTTAATTATATTTTTGTTTAATTTTAAAAATTATTTTTAGTTGTTTTGTGGTGGGTGGGTGGGGTAAAACATTTTATAGTTTTTATGTAATTTAAAATTAGTTTTATTTTATGTGAGAATATCCCTGAGTTGGTAGGCTTAGTTTTAAGAATTTATTTAGGATTTTACTCAACTTGGACCCAATTAAACTTTTTAGGAGATTTTTAAGGATAATAAATTTTTATTTTTAAGGATAATCCAGGGCAAGATCGTCTAAGATTTTTGATAGAGTTAGAGGAGGAGGGAAGAGGGTTAGGTGGCCGAGGAGGAAGGCCGAGTAGGCGTCTAAATTTTAATGCAAGCACCTTTAGTTCTTAATTTTGCACTTTGTAAAGCTAATTTCGGAAAAATCAAGTTTGAATATTTGAATTAACGCTGATATTTTGATTAATTCGAATAACGGGGTTCAGATTTAGAACTAATATATGAAAATAACCTTAACATCCCATTACTAAATTTAAAAATCATTTAAAAACTCAAATCTACAAAGTGCAAAAACCAAAAATTTATGAATTAATTACCCTGCGGCGGTGGTTGTGATTATGTTTGCGACCGATAGTAACCCTTCCATCATGTAGAATTCTTCGTCTTAGACGTGCCGGACATTCTGAACCACGTACCTCCTAGTTAAAATTTAATTTTATTTATTCACGTGTTGATGGCTCCTATCAAGGCTCCTATTAACGCTGATATTTTGATTAATTCGAATAACGGGGTTCAGATTTAGAACTAATATATGAAAATAACCTTAACATCCCATTACTAAATTTAAAAATCATTTAAAAACTCAAATCTACAA